CCATGTGGTGAGGAACTGTGGGCGGCATCTCAAAGCGGAGTACCTCAGCCATGCAACCGCAAGGAAGTGGGCCCTGCAACACCAGGCCATTTTAGAAGACCTCAAGCCTCAGGTCTGATCACAGCCCCGATTCACACTTTGATGGCAGCCTGATAAGACCTGAATGATGGATCCAGGTGAGCCATGCCATGATTGCTGCCCTACAGAGATAGCTCATGGCTATTGTTTTAAGTGGCTGGGTTTGTGGTAGGAACCCAGATGCATAGTGTATTGCACACTGGACTGCTAAGCCACAAGGTCAGCAATTCAAATCCACCAGCCACTTTGTGGGAGAAAGATGAGGTTTTCTGCTGTAGTAAAGATGTACATCCTCAGAAACCCACAGGGGCAGTTCTACTTGGTCTAATAGGACCATCTACTCAATGGCAGTAAGGTGTTTTGCTGTTGCATTTTTAAGTTTTTGGCAATTTGTTCTGCAAAGGAAAAAATCCAGGCCCAAACCCCCACTCTTCCTACAAACTCTGCTCTGGCTATTTGAACCAAGTTTCCCTGGCTTTGAGTCTGACCCCCTGGTATGAAATTGCCTTTCTAGCTTAGACATACTGATCAGAATCCACAGGACTTATCACAAGCACCTGGGGGTTTTGTTAAAATGTAAAATGCGATTCAGTCTATCTGGGGTGGAAATGCAAATTCTCAGGAAGGGGTCAGAGCACAATGAATTGATTAGAACCTCACTGCCCACTCATAGTGACCTTATAGGTTAGAACTCCCACCTTAGAGTTCCCATCTAAAGGACGGATGAGCTCTTGCTGGTGGGGCACTAATGCTCTTGAAGCTCTTGCTTATGGTATGACAAAAGAGCCCTCAGACCGAGAAACTTGATAGCTGGTCCCATTCTTTCACTTGCTGTATCTCCAGGGCCAGACGTACGTTCTTCTCCTTCCGTGCACACTGAGTTCATGGCCTCCTGCTGCACCTCACCCATGTGGATTGTCTTCCTCAGGCCCCTGATTCCCTTCAGCATTCACTCTTGGTTCATGTCTATGGGCATCTTCACATGGTGCATCACACATCTGGGTACACAGCCTGGCCATCAGGGCCCAGGAATCCATGACTCCTTCAGGACAGGACTGACTCCCCAGCCTCTAACCAGGACCTGGCATCTCAAAGGTGCTCAGTGAACACTTGGTGAATGGCCATACAGGGCATATTTTTCATGAGGTCCAAACTTTGCCAGCTGTAAATGAGAGTGTGGTTGAACCAGGCACTCTGAGATGGCTTCTAGTACTAACACTCTCCCATCACCAGCCAGGTACTCCTGGCCCCTTCCTCCAGCTCTTTTCTCCATAGAAAACAAGCCCATCTGGCCTCATGAGGCCACAAACTCCCCCAGACCAGACATATCTATCCATTTTGCTCATGCTTGTTTCCCTAGCCATAGGCAGACAACACTGCCTGGAATATAGCAGACTTTTTGAGCAAGTCGCAAGCCTTATATGTTCTTAACAACAAACCTCTGAGATAGGTATTCCTATGTCTGTTCTGGGTTACTTAAAAGGAAGTAACTCAGGCAGTGAGTGGAGAAGTCAAGGTCAAACTGAGTCAGTCTGACTCAGGAAGGAGTCCAGGTGCTTATTGTGCCTGCTATGCAAAGGAGTTAAATTTACTGGACATCCTTTGCAAGGGGCACGTAATACACTAGTGCGCAACAAGAAGGGGGGTGGAATGCCATTGCAGCAGCTTAAGTGGCAAGAGATGGGGGTGCTGCTAAGGAAACTGATATGGTTTTCAACAAAGCCAGTAAATTAATCATACTTAATGAATGTGACTAATGTGTTAAAGGAACAAGCGATTAAAACATTACCCCATGTGAAATTCCCCTCCCTGGCTAATTTCTGCTCCTCCCTCGGGTTACCATCTCTCAAAGAGGCAGGGGTACAGAATTACGGAAATGGATATGGAACAGAAATGTGTTTTAAATGGCCTAAATTGGGGACAGTCTGTGCAGTTCTCAAGTGGCTGTCACTCCACGTCTCACTGCTCAAGGGAGAGACGTGGGCTGCGGAGAGAGGCTGGAAGTGTCACCACTATTAGAACTGGGAACAGGAAGCCAGGCATTTCCCGGGGGTAATGGTGTGGAAACCATAGCCAGATGCCCGGTTCTTCAGTCAATGGAGGGTGACCAGTTTCCTCAGGCACAAGGTGACATGGGAGGCCTGCTCCCTGCAGCAGGGCCACAGCTGGTTGACTGGCTGACTGTATATTATCCATAGCACACACAAAACTTGGGTATCATCAGCGATTTTTGAGAATCATCATTAGGGAATTATGGCACAGTCCCCTGTGAGTACACCCCCTCCCTGGCTACATACACGCAGCTCATTGCACAGAGAATCAAGACTGCGAGGAAGGGAAGTATCTCTGAATGAAACACACTGATCAGGAACCAGGAGAGCCCACTGCTTGTTGGTGCTCTACAATTTGTTGTCTACAGGTCACCTTTGTCCATGAATAAACTTGAGAGCTTCAGTGACCGAGTTGTTTATCAGGACATGTTATATATGCCCAAAGGGGCATACCACTCCACTATAAGCCTCAACCTGAAGACATTCAGCTCAAGCTCTGTGGGTCAGGAAGACCACCTTAAACAATTAGTGCCCAGAATCACCTTACTCTGCAAGTCAGCCTCCTGCACAAAAACACTCAGCTTAACTTGCTCCGTAGATTGGGAAGTCCATCACTCTGTTCTATGCTCTGGCTCCTGGTTCTGCTACTGCTCCTCTGACATTGCATCTGTTTTCAGGATCCAGGAGACTCATTGTGCAGGGATCTCTGGTCCAGAGGACAACCTACATTCCTGACGCTTGTTGGCAATGAGATCCTTCTACCTGCTTCTCAGAGGACTCGTTTTATACACAGCAAGATGGTTTTACAGGGAATCCTACTTTCTTACCAGACCCACTGAGGAAAAGGTCATTTGGTAGGAGTGAGAGACTGGTTAGACGGGATACAGTAAATAATTCACTGCCCCTGCAACTATGCTAACTGGAACACTAGATGAACAAATAAATACTACAAATAATAATGTTATTAAATCCTTTCCAATTTCAGTTGTTTGGTAAGGCTTGTTAGAGCAAAGTCCCAAGAGGCAAGATTAGCAAGTGCCAGAGAAATTAAAGAGTAATGTGTTAGTCTGAGTTTTCTAGAGAGAAAAAAAATCAGGCTCTCTCTCTCTCTCTCTCTCTCTCTCTCTCACACACACACACACACACACAAAGAACTCTGTATCAAGAGAGACATTTCTATCAAGGAAGCAGCCCAGCCCAGTCCAACCAAGCTTATGGGGCAGGTGCCAGCTGGAGGCATCAATGAAGCAAGAAGGTGAAGTGGGAAGTTGGGAGATCACAGGCCAGTGGGTGCACTCGTCTAGATCCGAGGGCCATTGAACATGGCGGGCACTGACAGCTCCCAATGTCATGGGCTGGTGACCCCAGAGGCACATGCAGAATCCAGGCAAGCAGGAAGGCAAAGAGGAACAAGAGAGAGAAGTTCTCCACAGCATCTATTATAAAAAGGCCATATCCCCAAGACGATGGCATTAGGCTTGGTCCTCATTAAGAGGCTGAGCTCCACTTATATCTACGCACGGGCAAATCAATTTGACATAAAATCTAGCCATCACAACCGAACCGAACCTTTCTTATTGATGAATTCAGAAGGCCAAGAGAAGAAGGGAGAAACTTTCTCATCAGGTACAGAAAGTGATGTAACACCCTGTTCTCTCCATGCTCCACCTACAATCTCACATAGGGGACCGGCAGGGAGGTCAAGAGCACAGAATCAGGAGGCGGACTGCCCTGCTTCACAGCTAGCTCTCCTGTCCTGGGCAAATAAACCATGTGAGCCTGTTTCATCATTAGTAAAGTACTGATAATCATAGCAGTTAAACTGGGTCCCTCATGGTGGACGGGTCTCAGCAGAACTTCCTGACAAAGACAGACTAGGAGGAAAGGGTTGCGGATCTACTGAAAATTAGCCAGTGAGAACCCCGTGGATCACAACAGCATATGGACCATGCTTGAAGATTAACACCCCAGGTTGAACCACACTGAAAATACACTCGAAACCAAACCTGTGGCCATTGAGTCTAACTTATTGCTACCGTACAGGGCAGAGTAGAGCTGCCCCGTGGCAGTAACTTGAGTGCCACACTTGAGCTCACCACCTTAAACTCACTCATTTGAATCTATTCCCACTCAGTGGACCAGAGAACAATGTAGAACTACTCGGTAGGGTCTCTGCAGGTGCAAATCTTTACCAAAATGACCGCTTCGGCTTCACCTTTCTCCCACACAGCAGCTGGTGGGCTCGAACTCCTGCCAGGACAAAGAGCTTTACCCGCAAAAACCCAAACAGCAACAAACCCCCCTCCCCACCCCCCAAACCACCTGTCATGGAGTCAAGACGGCTCATGGCCACCTTATAGGACAGGAGAGAATTGCTTTGCACTGTATCTGACTAGGTCCATTTGCATATGATTTTTGCCCCATCGTCATAGCAACAGGGAAAAATATCCGCGTGTACATGGGTCTAGCTCTATAGAGCACACTTCCGAACAGTTCAAGGGTCAACTGTCCGGTGTCATCTCTAGTTGTAGCTCCCTCAAAGACCTCTCTCTTGCTCTTCTGTGCCTTCCTGCTTGCTTGAACTCTGCACGTGGCTCTGGGGGTCAACAGCCCACGGCCCCGGACAGAGCGTCCATCAGACACCCGTTCAGCCTAATTCTGGACCCACGTCTGAGTGACTGGAGAGAAAGCCCTCCCCTCCTCCGCCCGCCTTCCCCGAGGGCTCAGAGCCCCGCCTCTGACTCGGCGTCTCTCCCGGTTCGCCCCGCCCTGCGGAACTTCGCTTCAGCCCGCGCGCTGGCGTCACGACGTGCGCTGACGTCACGGCGCGCGCGCCGCCTCGCGCCTGCGCGGTCGGCAGAAGGTCGTCCCTGTGACCGGCTCGGCTGTAGGAAGACCTGTCGCCATGTTGTCGGTCGCCGCCCGCTCGGGCCCTTTCGCGCCCGTCCTGTCGGCCACGTCCCGCGGGGTGGTGGGCGCGCTGCGGCCCCTGGTTCAGGCCTCGGTGCCCGCCACGGCAGAGCCGCCTAAGCTGGATTTGAAGCGGCCTTTCCTGTGCCGGGAATCGCTGAGTGGGCAGGCCGCGGGCCGGCCTCTGGTCGCCTCTGTGGGCCTCAATGGTGAGCCGGGCTGAGGGGAGCGCCCGGGGACTGTGGGATCGCCGGCTTCTCGCTCCCTCCCGCCCTGGGCCCAGGGCGGCAGCTAGGAGCGGGCGGGCGGAGGCGGGCTGTCTAGTGTTCGGTGTGGCCGAGCTGAGCGACCTTGGACAGACTCCGTCAGGGCCTCACCCGTGCGCGGTCGCCGCTGCCACGGGTGATCGTTGCGACCCTCCAGCTCTGGTGGGATGGCGAGTCTTTCCATCGGGCGAGGCCAGTTAAGCTCCCAGCCACAGACCTTCGTACTAAGTTGAAGAACTATGGCGTCTGAGTGCTTCCAGCAGTTTGGTGGCCACTGTGCTGCTTACAAGTCGTGTGCCCTTGGGCAGTTGGCCCATGTTTTCCCACACTGGTGAAATGCTTTTGGTGATTGTACCGCCTTCATGGGGATGTTGTGACACGTGGGAAATCTATTGAAGCGTTTTGGGCCCTTAATGCTCAAGAAGCAGGTTTACTATTAACACTTGGGAAGTTGTCGCCCCTTCACCAGCCCTGATCACTTCAGAGACCTTGCCTGTCGCCCCCCTGAAACAATCCCTCCACCCAACCCCCCAAGGTGAGATCCAGAGTCAAGTGTCAACAGTGATTTAAGGCACACCATAATCAAGTTCATCCCCAAGAACAGGCATAAGTTGATGCTCCCAGTAGCAGATGAGGGGAGGTGGCTACTGGCAGTAGGGCACACACAGTGTGTACCTGGTAGTGGGAGAGCATGGGTTGCCCTCCCCTTGTGCTTGTCCCTAGGTGGCGGACCTCACCATATGTTCTGTGCCTTGTCTGCTGTTTGTAAAAACTGGGATGGTGTTTGGCATCATTGGAAATACTGGAAACTAGTTTTAAAGGGAGGGTGTCCTTCCAGCGCAATTCCAGCCCTCTCCAGACCTGCTTGATCCATCCTGCTCCAGCTTGGTCCCATTTATCGTTGAGTTGCTGGCCCTCATCCTCTATGCTGACCAATTACCCTTGCTCCTTTTTCTCATCATTCACCTTCCCATCAGTTTTCTGTATACATTTTTTAATTCCCCTATGTCTTTGACAGCACATACTATTTTCCACTCTATTGCATTTACTGCTGAGTCTTTTTGACTTGAGGGCATGGAGAATGGATGCTTTTTTTTCCTATCTCCCCCAACCCCTGATTGCTAGGGGACATCAGCATTTGTTGAATGTCCCGGGGCAGAGGATCCCTGGTGGTGTAGTGGTTATGAGTTGGGCTGTTAACTGCAAAGTCAGCAGTTCAAAACCACCAGCCACTCTGAGGGAAAAAGATGGGACTCTCTACAGTCCTGGAAACTCACAGGGATAGTTCTCCCCTGTACTATAGGGCCCCTATGAGTGCGTAGATTTTGATGGCAGTGAGTTTAGTTTGGTCCTGCCCCAGGCAGGGTTCAAATATCTGTTACATACCAAGCCCACTTTTGGAACCTGTGGGTGAGATACAGTAGAGGTGGGAAAAAAATCAATGGAGGTAAAACACATCTTTGGGATTTGTCAGGTGGTTAAAATTGGGAAGTAAGATGACTTGTAAAAAAACTTTTAAGAACAGGCTAAAAACAACTTTAAAACAGTCTTGGTAACAACAGCTAAGCACTTGGCTGCTAACCAAAAGGTTAGGAATTTAAATCCATCCAGCGGCTCCCCTGGAGAAAAACCTAGCAATCTGCTGCTGTGAAGATTATAGCCTTAAAACCCTGGGCCACTTCTCATATGGGGTTACTGTTAGTTGAAAATTGACTCAATGGAACCTAGCAATAATACAATACTAGACTCTTCTGTAATTACGCCTTCCACTAATCACATTAAAATCTGCATAGATTTCTCGCAAGATGTGTATAATGATGGAAATGGGGCCTGGAAAACTGAATCAAAGTTCCTTGAGTTCGGGGTTGAGGGCAGTGCTATATGAGGGAGTTTCAGAAAGTTCTTGAAAAATTGAATTTGTGTTAAAAGAATTTTTGAAACCTCCTCAAATTCTGGTAGCAGGCTTTGGCAACTCACATAAAAGGCCTGCTACCAGAATTTGAGGGAGTTTTAAAAGCTCCTTTATAAAAAAATTCAAGTTTTCTGTGAATTCTTTGAAGCTCATTCATATAGCACTGCCCTCAACACAGAAACTTGGTTAGTTTTCTCTATTTCTAGAGGATGCTTCCGTAAGTATCTGATTTTGCTGTAAGATAAAATTAAATCTAACACTTTTGCTATTTAAAGTCAGATTATACTGTTTATACTATTTAGAGAGATTTTTGCACTATACAGTTTTAATATTTCAAATGTACTTGGTGTTGTATTTCTTGTTATTTGCTAATGAGTTAATTCCAACTCATAGCAACCATGTGTGGCAGTACAGCTGCCCCATAGGGTTTTTGAGGGTGTAATCTTTTTGATTGTTTTTAAGATCATTTTATTGGGAGCTCTTACAGCTCAATCCATACATCAATTGTATCAAGCATATTTGTACACATGTTGTCCTCATTTTCTAAACATTTACTTTCTATTTGAGCTCTTGGTATCAGCTCTTTTTTTCCCTCCTTCCCCCCACCCTCCCACCCATGTGAACCCTTGATAAATTATAAATAATATTTTCATATCTTACACCCACTGCTGTCTCCCTTCACCCACATGTCTGTTGTTCATCCCCTTCGGGTGGTGATGGTGGTTGGGTGTCAGTCATTGCAATCGGTTCCCCCTTCCTGAGGGTGTAACACCGTTTACTAAGTTTCACTATCATTTATGAATGCTTATGACTTGTATACAATTACTTATTTTGAAAACCATCTGAAAAGCATTTGCAATGCATTATGTAAGTATATCATTCTTTTGAAACTAACAGTTTCTGTAAGTGAAAGATCATTAGTGTCCCCTTTTCTAGAAAGGAAAATTTACCAACTCCCTAAAACAAATAAACACTTTGCCAAGAAATTTGCTTCCTGAAACATGCTTAAATGTGGTGCCGGTAAGTTAATTGACAGACATCTGAAAACATAGGAGAAAAGGATTTTACTTAGTTCCATTTATTTATTCCCCTCACCAGTTTTATTGGCATGTAATTCACATGTTAAACAATTCAATAGTTCAGTCACATCAAGAAGTGTACAGTCATCACCACAATCACAGTTTTGGAACATTTTCTTCATTCTTATATTCATCATTATTTCCTCATTTCTCCCCCAATTTCTCCTGTTATACCCCAAAGGAAACATTCATCCTGTTACTGTCTCTGTAAATTCATCCATCCTTGATTTCATGTACAGAAAAAGCATTAAAAAACAAAAAGGAATAACAAAGTGAAACAAAACCCTCAATTTGGAAAGAAAGCAAAATATTAAAAACGAATAAATTTAAATGAATCAGGAAGGTGCTAAATCAATCTAAGTGCACATGGAATAATCTCATTTCCAATGCAGTCTGCATGTTAGTAAGGCTATTTACATCCCTGGTCCATGGTCACAGGGCTTAATTTACATGTGTTTCCCCTTAATTTTTTAAAATTGAAACAGCTTTAAAATGGGTCAAAAGGAAGATCAAATGATAGTACATTTTGACCTATCTGTCTGCCATAATCGATGGTACAATGCTCTTTGTCTTGATCATGGTTATTCCCATCCCTTAACTATGATTGGAGGGGTCTCACCAGTAGCTATATTCATGAATACACCCTTCAAATGGACTTTGGACTTCCACTGTTATCCATAACCTGAAAACTAGGTGTTCACAATTTCAGCTCTGATGTTATTCCCTCCTTTAGATTTGGATTATATTTACAGTCCTTGGATCACACAGGCTAGTGTGCTTCTTCCTTGTGGACTTGGCTGCTTGTTTGAAAACTGGCCTTTAAAGATCACAGACTATGCTAGGCAGGCACCATCTACTTTCTTCACCACACATTGCTGTAGCACCCAGACCTTCAATGATCTTTTCATGAGGGTGGACATTAAGCAGGTCCATGCTATAAAAATTAATTGTGCTTAAATAGGGTCTAGAATTAAGTGCAAGTCCTAAATTTATTCATGCGTCTATGATTTATATATGTCTCGGTTCACCTTAGAATCTTTGTTATTTTGTGTTAGAGAACATTATCAATTACACCCCCCCCCTCCTTACCCCTGGCATCACTTGCACTGCTAACAAGTCAATGCTGACTTATAGCGACCCTGTTGGGCAGGGTAGAACTGCCTCTGTTAGTAGTTTCTGAGCCTGCAAATCTTCACAAGAGTAGAAGGCCTCTTTTTCTCTGGAGCTGGTTGGCTGTTTGGAACTGCTAACTGTACATTTAGCAGTCCAGTGTGTCATTAGCCAATGGTATAGAACTTAAAACTATTGAGAAAAGGAGGTTGTATGAGTATAGGCTCCCTACAAACCATAGTATGTGAATTGTTGACTTGTACAGATTAACTTTTAAGTGACTGGACACTATTTACAGAAACAATGGGGTTGATGATAGAGCATATTTTCCAATAATATTCCTTCACAACAGCAGAGCCTTGTCTACCAGATTAATAGCTATCATAATGAAGCAAGGAAAGCATTAAAGTAGGAAGTATGTGGTAGTTCCAGGGCACCCTCAAGGCACAAAATTCAAACCAACGTCCATTGTCCACCAGCTCTGTGCCCTTGGGCAAGTAATTATCTACCTCTTCTCACACTAGGGATTTTCAGCCTTATGTCCAAAGGGAACAGGTGAGTTTGGGGTAGAAAAGGTCGCTTAAAAGGAGGGTAAGGGGAAGGTGGGGGAGAAAAGGGAAGTCGATTACAATGATCTACATTTAACCCCTTCCCTGGGGACAGACAACAAAATAGTAGGTGAAAGGAGACACTGGACAATGTAAGACGTGCAAAAATAATAATTTATAAATTACCAAGGGTTCATGAGGGAGGGGGAAGGTGGGGGAGGAAGGGGAAAAAATGAACTGATACCAAGTGCTCAAGTAGAAAAGTGTTTTGACGGTGATGGCAACAAATGTACAAATGTGCTTGACACATGGATGTATATGTGATAAGAGTTGTATGAGCCCCCAATAAGACGATTTTTTAAAAAAATAGACCATATAAGGGGGTCTCGGGAAGCTTGTGGAAGGAGATAAAGAATAATAGAATTTTCCCATGACATTTTTGAGCCTACTTATTTATTCATCATGTGTTTTACACAAGTGGTTACATGTTGTATGACCTGCCCCATGGGGGGACTGCAGTGAAATAGAAAGCCAGTGCTCCTACCCTTATAGACGTGATTACCCTTCATTGAGGACAGCGGATGAATCATCTTGGTCATTCCCTTATTAAATTTTAAAGAATTCTGCAGACTTCTTTGATAATGATGGCTGCCTGTTTTGGTAACATCATTCTTGAAAGGAATACTTAAATACCAGAATATTTTTGCAGTGTATAGTCAGTGTTTTCTTGCAATGATTCTTAGCAGTGTTGTAGGAGAGCACATAGGTAGGGGTTTAAGTTTAAATATTTGCCTTACGACAATCTCACATCAGCCTGCAGTGAGGACTAGATAGGAGTGCTTTAAAGGAGCCCTGGTGGCACAATAGATTAAATGCTGGCTGCTAACCACTGCCCATGTGCTCTGCAGGAGAAAGGACCTGCCCATCTGCTCCCTTGCAGATTTCAGCTTCGGCACTGGGGGAGTTCTACTCTGCCATGTAGGGACACCATGAGTCCGGTTTGACTGGATGGCACACCACAACAGATGAGTTTTAGGGTCCCTTCTAAGGTCCTGGCAGGGAGAGTGTTCAGAAATGGAATTATTGCTGTTTGCAGTGCTGTTTAAATTTTTGCACCAAACTTTTTGAAGAATTCTGAATCAGCAGTGTTATAGGAGGATCTCAGTTCACAGATATTATTCTGTGCTTTCTTACCAATGATGGACAGTGGCTGACTTCATTTCATTTTTAATATTTTATATGCTGGCACTGCCAATTTGACAATTTCTGAGAACAGTGAGTACCTTATCTAACATTTTGAGTGTGGCTTTTGCTTGTTCATCTATAAGTCTGTTTTCCAGTAAATATATTCCTTTCAGGGTGCTCATCTAACTGTGTCTTTCAACCTTTGTGTCTTGCAGTTCCTGCTTCTGCACGCTATTCCCATACAGACGTCAAAGTGCCTGACTTCTCTGACTATCGTCGTGCTGAAGTGTTAGGTAGTACAAAGTCCTCAAAAGAGAGCAGCGAGGCCAGAAAAGGGTTCTCCTATTTGATCACTGCAGCTACCACCGTGGCTGCCACATATGCGGCCAAGAATGTTGTCTCCCAGTTTGTTTCCAGCATGAGTGCTTCAGCTGATGTGTTGGCCATGTCGAAAATTGAAATCAAGTTATCTGATATTCCAGAAGGCAAGAACATGGCCTTCAAATGGAGAGGCAAACCTTTGTTTGTGCGTCATAGAACCAAGAAGGAAATTGAACAGGAAGCTGCAGTCGAAATGTCCCAGTTGAGGGATCCGCAGCATGATTTAGAACGAGTAAAGAAGCCAGAGTGGGTTATCCTGATAGGTGTTTGCACTCATCTTGGTTGTGTCCCCATCGCAAACGCAGGAGATTTTGGTGGTTATTACTGCCCTTGCCATGGGTCACACTACGATGCATCGGGCAGAATCAGGAGAGGGCCTGCACCACTCAACCTGGAAGTTCCTTCATATGAGTTCATGAGTGAAGATTTGGTGGTGGTTGGTTAGAGACTTGGATTCATGTCATAAGCATCTTGAAGTCTTCATGTCACTGTAGAAGAGTTATTTGAGAGCAAGCTGTCTGTCCTTCAAGTTGGTTAATTAAAATGCTTAAGAATTGCTAATAATGTATTTGCAAACATTGAGAAGTAAATAGAATATAATGTTGAATACTTTAAAGCATTCACCTAATAAAACCATTTTTGAACATTGTTAAGTGCAGCCATGGACTTGAAAGGTATCTTGCCTTTGATAGTTAATTAAAAATTACACACTTGGTGTACAAGGCATTTGTGCTAAATCTATAGTCGACTTTCTCGTTTTTTTTGCCTAGCTATTTGGTTCCTTTTGTTGTATCGGGGTCACAAATCCTACATATGGTCGTGTTTAGAATGAGGTGAAATGGGTGGTTAGTCTCAGGTACTTCTGGGAGGTCTTCTGACATTGGCAGGAGCTGCCCCAAGTTTCCTTTTTCCCATACTCGGTCATCTGTTCCTTTGCCCTTGAAAACTTCTGACTGGTTTTCCTTCCTCCTGTGTGATTGGGATGGTGATTAGTTAAATATAATCTGTGGGCAAGAATTTTCAGTGAGGAATTTGAAGCTCATCTAGCTGACTTCTTGTCTTTGTGACAAGCCAGAGCATTTTAATCCACAAGGAGATTGACAGTGGCTGCAACCGAGTGGTGGGTGGGGCATTGGAGCCTGGTGAATTTGGTAAGTGTTGGACGGTTCACCATAAAGTTCATAAAAGAGACCAGCTGCTCCTTAGGAGAAAGGTTAGGTTAGCTGCTCTGTAAAGAGCATCAACCCCTATATAAGGTTGCTGTGAGTTGGAATTGACTCAAAGGCAGTGGGCATGGGCTTGGATTATTAACTGGGAATAATTTTTTAAAATTGGGAGTAAGTTTCATTTCCTTCATTCTGACTTAGGGTACTTCTGTCCCCAGAGCTCTGAATCTACCCTATTAAAAGAGATTAGTGAGTCAGATAAACTAAGATCCTGATGATTTTGTTTCTGTAATTAGATTTTGAGACGTCTTCCAATTGAATTTGCTATCTTAAAACCAGCACACTTAATGATTATAACTATATATATATGTATATATATATATATGAGGTTAGGTTTATACAGCGTGAATGAGTATAACAGCTAATTAGTCCACACAGCAGTACAGAGGGTTCAGTTCACTTAAGTGGAACAGGTAATGTACTGGAAGTCCCTCAACTCACAAAGGCTGCAAGGTCCAATGTCAAGGAAGCAGTGGAGTCCTCCCTCAGGCAAGGCAAGCAGTCGGCCTGTAGGCAGCAGGCAGCAGGATGGGTTACTAACAGGCAGTAGCTCAGTGAAGCAGCCCCAGATGGTATATTGAAAGCAAGCAATGCAAGGTGACAGGATCCATCAAGTTCAAGCAACATGATGCTTGGCTCACAGGGAGTGTAGCTCACTGGTTGAGGCAGAGAACTAGTTAAAAGCAGCAGCACACACATCACCAGAGAGGCAGGCTTTGCAGAGCCATTTATCTCTGCAGCCCTACCCCCACCCCAAACTGACCTGATTAATCCCACATGTTCCTATTGGCCAGGTTGGTACAATAAACCTGTCACCCCCATACTACCCAGTAAAGTAAGATAATCCATTTTCTAATGAAATGGCCAGGGGTCTGTCATTTGACATCTGGGACATTTGTTTTCTCCTTTATAAAAATAGGATTGTTGGACTAAACCCTTCCTAGTGTATACTCCCCATCCCCCTAAAAATGGGAATTGATTTATTTTAGCTGAGTGTTGACTGATGCTGTCATGAGCATTGATTGTGGATCCAAGTAAGACGAAATCCTTGACAGCTTCAATATTTTCTCCATTTGTGATAATACCTATTGGTTCGGTTAGGATTTTGGTCTTTCATACTGAAGGCTGCAATCCTTGATCTGATCAAGTGCTTCAGACCCTTAGTTCCCGCAAGCAAAGTTGTGTCATTTTAGGTACTGCAAGTTGTAAATAAGTCTTCCTCCAGCAGTGACCCATCAATAGACTGGGGCATAGGAATAATTGTGAAGACGATGCAGGACCAGGCAGGGTTTCATTCTGTTGTGCATAGGGTCGCTATGGGTCAGAGCCGACTCGGCACCTAGCAAGCGTCTGTTGTACTTGCGGTGTGTAGTAGTATAATGAGGTCTGAGCTCACTGAAACAATAGAGTATACCTTTCACAAAAGTACTCAGCTGGAGGTGGGGGGTGGGTACTGGTACTTTAAAGGGCATCTGTAGCCTTTTTATTGTCTCAACTATTATAGAGTAGTACTAGCGTTAGAGGAGTGGTAGTTGTTTTGGAATAGAAATGCCAACTGTGCGCTTGTGGGGATATTGGTGCACAGTTAGTATCCTAAACACTTGTGCTTCTGCCAGAAATGTTAGCAGCAGCCACTTTCCTGTGGAGAAAATAGCACCCCATATTACTGTCTCACCTAGAAATGAGACCTCAAAATATTCCCCACTAGCCCATATTTCATGTTTCAAACATCAAAACACCACTGTATTAGCGGATAGCCGGTAATGGAAGAGCCAAACAGGAAGTTTGCTGATTCCTGGATTTTGTCTCACAGGGCCTTCTGGAAATGCTGTACGTGGTAGGCTGCTATGACGGCTACTGTTCGATTTCAATATTCCATTCAGTCTCTGAAGACATTATTCTACAAGTGATAGGACAAGCACAATTGGCTTTTTGGTTATTTTTAGGAAACAGTCCTAAATTTTAAGGGGAATAACTTTAAAAAGAAGGACATCTGATTAGTTGACATCAGATTGAGGAACCTCAGTTGCGTCAATAGTTCGAAACTCCTAAGGAGAAAGATGAGGCTTTCCACTCCCATAAGCAGTGACAGTCTCAGAAACTCGGGTCAGTTTTGTCCTGTCCTATAGGGTCCTCGTGAGTCAGAATTGACAGTGAAGTTGGTTTTTGGTTTGACATCAGTTCATCAGTGTACCATGTTTCACCTAGAGAAAAATCCTGGGACAATCTTGAAAGCCATGCTTTAAACAGTGGTTGTAGAAAATAGCCTCAGAAAATTTGGCTTCATTTATTATAGATAATGACAAATTTACTTTGGTCTCTCTGAACATACCTCTGTAAGATCTATGTTGGACTCGATCTGAGTGTATAGCGGTCATTTGTCCTCGTTTGATGTGTACAGCTGGAGGTCAAAATGGGCTTTTAGTACCTTCATTTTTCTAAACAGTAGGAACATATTGATCTTTATGTCAAAAGTTATTCTTCATATTCACAATGCTAAAAATGCCATTTTCTGCTTGAAAAAAAAGGCACTTGAATTCCACAGCATTTATATATTAACCTCAAATAAATGTCGACATAGCTGTCAAGTAAACTAGTGGTTAAGGTTATAGGCCCAGATTCTGGGTTCTAATCCTGGCTCTGCTAGTTCTTGAATTTATGACTTGCGATGTTATTTATCTCTGTTCCTATCTTTCCTCATCTGAACATGGTCATGTTAGGAATCAGTGTATCAGTATGTCTCACTTGCTTAAATATGACAATGTCAAAATCCCTTCACATGGAATCTCTTCAAGGTCTTCCTGGCTGCTTCCCATCAGTAAACCCTTTGCTCCAAGAACACAGAGCTTGCTTGTTAACCTGCAATGTCTGTGCTGTATTCTGTTTCTCCGTGTTGGTCCTACTGCCTTGTGCCCTTTGCTTGCCCTTCTCTTGGCTAAGTCATCCTTTACTTGCTCTTCCAGATTCTGCTTTGGGCCAGTGCCCTGCAAGGAACCAACCCTAAGTCACAGTCCTAAAAAAAAAAAATTCCCCAAAGAATCAGGGGCATATCTATTTTATTGTAAAGTTCAATTTCCTGGTTTGACTCCCCATAGCAGACAGAGAGTGAGGCCCATGCCTGACCTAGCACTCCGCCATGGTTAGGGAAATGAGGGGCTGACTGACATCACTGGAGATGAAACATTTCCAGGGAGAATTTTGTAGATATCAGGTGTGATATTTCAAAGAATAGAACAATCATACAATGTACTTTATGTATTTAAAGATCTTTATAGGACACCAGGTCAGAGTAAAGATATTTGGGTTTTAAATTTAGATTTTGTTCCCAGAAGACAAAATGGAGAATGAATGCAAGATATCAAGAAACAAATGATTTTATTTTATTTCCATTTGCTTATTAATGACCTTTCTTCTACAATATTGTATACTGGCTAGTATAAAACTTTAACAGCAAAAGGTCTGTCCTTTAGTGTTCCATTTCCAATATTTTTAAGTAAAATGGAATAATTTTATTATTCTACCATTTTATCTCATTTTTATCCACTTTCCATCCTGGCAGTCAAGGGGAGCACTTTAATTTTAAGAAATATATATATATCTTATCACGCAGGAGAATTAATCAATTTCTCCTCTGGGGTTGTAGGAAGATTTGAGAATTGTTTTCTCCTTCAAACATTCAGTACTACTTGTTAGAGGTTACGAATGTCTTGCCAGGAAATGAAGGTAAAATGGCTTCTACTCTAGATACTTACAGGCGACCTAAATACACTACAAAAGAAAGACCACTCAAGTATTTGTTTTTGCAAATGCTTCTAAAATAGATTGCAATAGATCAGAAATCTCTGGGCTGTAACACACAAATTAATTTTTGAAGGGTTTCATCAGTATCTTTGTAATAACTATAATGATCAACATCAACTGAAAATCCCAAATTCAATAAACTACATATTATATTTTTGCAGCTATTATCCTAAATTTGGGTCAATTTGAGCACAAAAGCTGGCCTTTGAAGCCCTTATCTGATGAGAATATTTGCAAAAGTAAGACATGAAAGTGAATAAATAATAGACTTTTATACATTTTTTAAAAGGCAAACAAAACCTTGGCCCTTTAGTTAAAAAGGGAAAAGAGCAAATCCATTTCACATTGTTTTCCATTTTCTACATGGCTACGTGGCTAGAATTCCAATTCACATCTCTTCCTTTAATGAGGGAATGCCTGCTTTCTTAGTTCTACTGAGACACTTTCTCCTGTGACCCATCTTGGACACATGACAACTGATTTCAGCTTTATAAAAATCATACTGGAAATTATATACCTCTTAGTAAATAATTATGTATTAGATCATTTTGAACATAAACCTCAAATAATGGGTACCGAAAGTATATAAACTGTAAAGTCCCACATAAAGGCACAGAGCATTACTTAGTGTTGTAGGAAGTTAATCAAAAGTGTGGCTTCTAGGGTCCTGTTCAGGAAATGACAAGGGGGCCACATCTGATCTCCTCTGGCTTCCGTTTGGAGAAGGATAATACAACTCCACATCTTCCCAAGGAAGGTTCCCCTGAGGGAGAGGTCAGGCATGCCTCCGCTCTCCACCCTTCTTAATAGTATGCTGACACCAACGGTTCCTCCCAAGGCACCTAACTTCTCTGTCATTTCAATGGCCACATACAACTCCCAAACCATGCTCCGGATTATGGGGGTTTATTAGGGAAGCTAACAGGTTACCACAAGTTAAGATCAAGAAACATTAAGGATACAGTCATTTTGTCTGGAGCAGACCTTCTTAGTCATGTGAGCAGTCATCTCTCTCTGGTCCTTAGCCTTTCCGTCATGCTACCCATTGGCCTTTGCCCTGCTTGAACAAGTGTTAGAAAGCACCTTTAGTATTTACCTCATTCTGCAAGCCAGCCTCCTGGCCAAAGGCACTCAGCTTTCACTCGTTCTGTGGACAAGGAAGCCCAATGTTCTGCCTTATAGTCCCTGCTACTTCTCGGCTCTGTCACATGGTCTTGGGCCTATGTCCTCTGATGCCTTGACCACTTAGGCAGGAGTCTGATGCATGCCCTAGTAGCTCTTTCTCTTCTGTTCCTGCTTGTGAGATGGCTTACTTTTATGCCCAGTGGAGTGACCTAACTGAGCAATCCCTGAGTTAAGAGTCCTCTACACCTATTTGCATGCTCCTCACCATTCATTTGGCAGGACTTTCAAAGACTTTAGATAGGAGATCCATACCAAGTAATTTAATTTCATTGAAAGTTCACACATGCATGGGTTTATTCAAAACAAGAAGTTTAGACATGGTGCTTGCTTCAGCGACACATAGACTAAAATTGGAGCGATACAGAGAAGATTAGCCTGGCCCCTGTGCAAGGATGACCTGCAAGTTCGGGAAGCATTCTATATTTTTAAAGAAAAAAAAAAAGATGTTTACACATGTCTCTGTTATCAGTGGGTGGGCACAGACAAGATCTCTTCGTAATACATCTATCTTAGGGTGCCTTTAAAATAATGGTTTAATCAAAACAGTGCTTTCCTAAGGGATCTATTGGGCCAATTAAATTCAAGACAGAGAAGTCAGCTCAGAAGGTTATAGCCACGATTTGGGGGGGTTTCAGAAGGGTAATCCTGATAGATCCACCCACCCCCCACCCCCCGGACATGAAAAGGGCTAATTTGAAGAAGTTTTAGGAAAATTGAAAATGACACTGATGAAAAAAAGGTCGAGACTTGTGCTAAAGGTCTTTAAAAAAAAAATCACATTAATGCACTTGCTCGTTCTTTGAGGGTAGCAAGAGAATTTTACTAGGAAACCCTACCCCATCTACCGTAGAGGCCTGGTCTTGCTTGATTCAGACTTCTTTTTGTTCCACAATCTCAAAGAACACTTAAAGGGGCTACAATTTGAGTACCTCAAGGATGCCCAAACTACTGGTTTGATGTGGTAGAAATCAAAGAGCCAAACAGTCCTTGGGGAAGGATTCGAGAGATGGAAACTGCCTTCAGAAGAGTATAAGACCTAGATGGGGGATATGTCAGAAAACCAAAGCTTCATGCTTTGATATTTTTGTTTAATAAAGGTTTCTATGATTTTATGGCAATACTTTCGACTTAAGGCTTGTATAGCAGGGAGGGAATAGATGGCACTTAACATGTGCACAAGGTACACAGAAAGGCAATTTTGGTGGAAGTATTTCCCTGTGTTGTTTGTGGTTCACGAATCCAAGACTGATACTCATCCGACATTCAAATATGCTTTGGTCCCCGGAAGTTCAAATTTGCATGAGTACATAATTTTGATGCTAAAGAGATCAAAGCTGAACTTTTCCATGGTAATGATTCACACTGTAGTTTTTTTTTTTTCCCATTTAGCTTTAAAAGGGATATTACTAATTGAATCCAAAAGCTGGTTCTTTGAAATGATCAAGAAAATAGATAAAGCTATTGTGGGTTCCGTTAAGAAAAATACAAGGCAAAACAAAAATATACGAAGAAAAGAGCTAGCCATCATTACCTAATGAAAGAGATACAAATAGTAATAGAAGAATACGACTCTATGGCAACAGAGTTATAAAACTCAGGGGGCTGATGATTCCTTAGCAAAATGTAAATGGCCAGAATCCACCCAAGAAATAGAAACCTTGACTAGACCAATTACTACAGATGGGCTTGATTCAATGTGTAAAGTTGCCATAGTTGTATGGCTTCATGTCTAGTTCTAGATACCACGTTAAAGAAAAGATGATCCCACTATTGTTGAAACTTTAAACTCTCCAGAGCTTCTCTAGTTTTACTTTGCAGACACTCACCAGGGAATCTTGTTAAGAATGCATATTTTGATTCTAGAGGCCCGGAGTGCGGCCTGAGGTTTTGTATTTCTAACAAGTTCCTGGATGATGCCCATACTTTTGGTCCAGGACCCATTTTTTTTTCTGTTTATTTATTTTATTATTTTTAAAATCATTTTATTAGGGGCTCATACAACTCTTATCACAATCCATACATATATCAATTGTGTAAAGTACATTTGTACACTCATTGCCCTCATCATTCTCAAAACATTTGCTCTCCACCTAAGCCCCTGGCATCAGCTCCTCATTTTTCCCCTCCCTCCCCACTCCCCATACCCTCATGAACCCTTGGTAATTTATAAATTATTATTTTGCCATACCTTGCCCTGTCTGATGTCTCCCTTCACCCACTTTCCTGTTGCAGGACACATTCTTTGAATTAACAAAATTCTGTACTGCGGGTGTGTAGTAAGTTAAGACATGCATCTACCATAAATTTAATGTTAAAATCTAATATTAAATATTATGCAAATGTGAGATCAGTCTCACTTCTCTAATACATGAAAAGTTATACAAATACTAGTAAAATATAACAAGGTAGAAAAGAATAAACTTTGACCAACTAAGGATTACTTCAGGAGCCTAAGGTGATTGGGTATCAACACTGGAATTAAATTTTAAAAATACAAGCATATAAAGACATCAAAAGATGTGGAGAAAACACTCCTGCACAGAGTTAAATAAAATTGAGGAAGGGGAATCTTTGCAAATATGAGGAAGATTACCAAAACCAATAGCAAAAATTTGGAATTGTGAAAGTGGTGGGTTGGCATTTCAAACACGCCCAACAGCACATCAGAAGAAAGCCTGGCCAGCAACTCTCAGAGGGTGCAGCCTTGAAGCGCCCCAGAGCACGATTCTCCTCGGAAACACATGGGTTTCCGTAAGTCTCCAGTGCGACCAACAATAACCAAGCAATCTCGCCGGTTAGGGCTAGCTAGTGACACCACCTGTCCCTGGGAGTCCCTACCGATGTTTGGAAGGCTTTTGCAAATGCAAGAAATAGGACAGGAAAAGGAAATAATCAGAATAAATACTGAAAAGAAGAGGAAAAGCTATTTTTTTTTCTGCTGATAATATAACATTTTCAGAAAACCTAGAGACTAAGTAAAAGAACACTAGAATTTAGAATTTGATAAAGTGTGAGATTCAAGAGAAATCTTAAAAAATAAAAGCTTTCATTACATTAGCTGACTCACTTCCATCAACTCAATTCTGACTCATAGCCACCGTTTAGGACAGGGGTGAACTACCTCTGTGGGTTTCTGAGACTGTAACACTATGGAAGTGGAAAGGGTCTTTCCCTGGACATTAAATACACTCTCCTAAAAATGAGAATGAGGAAACTTTATAATTGTAAGTTATAAGAGGGTAGCAATTGTATTTTTGTGTAAGCCAGCATCCTTGTTTCCTAGATTGGTGACTGGCACCTTAAAACCAAATTCAATGCAATTGAGTTAATGCGGGTGCACAGCCACCCTATAGGGCAGGGTAGAACTGCCTCGGAGCGGGTGTGTGTGTGTGGGGGGGGGGGGGGGGGGGGGGTGGGGGGGTGGGGGGGGGGGGGGGAGGGGTTAAGACTGTAAATCTTCACAGGAATAGAGAGCCTCATCTTTTCCCCATGCAGCAGAGAGTAGTTCCCAATGGTTGACCTTGAAGCTAGCCCCCCCCCCCCAAGGCAGAACCACTCTGCAAACTGCTCTGCCTGGCACGTGTTGTTGTTGTTCGGTGCCACTGAATCGGCTCTGACACAGGGCAAACCTTTGCACAAAAGAACAAAGCACGGCCGGTCCCGTGCCACCCTCACAACTCTTCCTGTGCTTGAGCCCACCTTACAGCCCCTGTCTCAATCCATCTCCTTGAAGGCCTCCTGTTTTGCTGCCCCTCCACTTTACCAAACATGATGCCATTCTCTAGGCACTGGGATCTCCTGACAACATGCCCACAGTCTGTAAGATGAAGTTTTGCCATCTTTGCCTCTAAGGAGCCCTCTGGCGGTACTTCTTCCAACATAGATCAGTTTGTTCTATTAGCAGTCCATGGTACTTTCAATATTCTCTCCCAGTCCACAATTCAAATCCATCGATTCTTCTTTGGTTTTCCTTACTCAGCGTCCAACTTCCACACGCATATGAGGCAATGGACAATACCATGGCTTGGGTCAGGTGCACTTTCATCCTCAAACTGAACATCCTTGCTTTAGAGTCTAAAGTGATCTTGTGTGGCAGTTTTACTTAATGCAACACGTCTTCTGTGAGCATTGATTGTGGATCCAACAGGACAAAATCTTTGACAACTTCAACCTTCTCTCCACTTACCATGATGTTACCTATTGGTTTTAGTTGAGAGGATTTTGGTCTTCTTTACACTGCTGAAATCCACAGTGCAGGCTGCAATCCTTGATCTTCATCAGCAAGTGTGACAAATATTCTCCTCACTTTCAGCAAACAAGGTTGTCAATAAAACTTCCTCAAATCCTGATGCTTCATTATTATTCTTCTAATCCACATAGTAGGGACAAAATAAATGTTTGTTCATTAATTGTGACTATAAAAATAAACACGAATAGAGTCAACAAATAAGGTATATAATCTATATTTTTAAAAAAACTTAAGTCAAGATCTGAGATGGGGTGCTTTTGAACAGCAAGTCTTAATTTCATTAGATGTGAATTTTCCTTAAATTAACATTTATATCTAAATACAGGCATGTACATATGTAAATATATTTATATAGGATAGTGGGGAAATAGATCTATGTGCGTATATTTATAGGTTTAGTATTAAGGCAGCAGATGGACATTGGACCTCCACTAAAGTATTTACTCAATGCAAGAACATTTTGTTCTATCAAAGTGGCATTCCATGATGCACGCCTTCCTGACACGATAGCTGAAGACAAATGTGTGCATAAGCAAAAGTGGCAAAGAAAGCTCCTGGTGCCCGCATATCAAAAGATATAGCGTCTGGGGTCTTAAAGGCTTGAAGGTAATCAAGCAGCCATCAAGCTCAGAAGCAACAATGCCCACATGGAAGAAGCACACAAGCCTGTGTGACCATGAGCTGTCGAAAGGATCAGGTATCAGGTATCAAATAACAAAAAATTATATCATTGTAAATGAGGGTGAGTGCAGAGTGGAGACACAAAGCCCATCTGTAGGCAACTGGACACCCCCTTACAGAAGGGTCACTGGGAGGAGACAAGCCAGTCAGGGTGCAGTGTAGCAATGATGAAACATACAACTTTCCTCTAGTTCCTAAATGCTTCCTCCCCACCACTATCATGATCCCAATTCTACTTTCCAAATTTGGCTGGACCAGAGGATGTACATTGGTACAGATAGGAACTGGAAACACAGGGAATCCTGGACAGATGATCCCTTCAGGGCTAGTGGTGAGAGTGGTGACACCTGGAGGGTGGAGGGAAGGTAGAGTAGAAAGGGGGAACTGATTACAAGGATCTACATATAACCTCCTCCCTGGAAGATGGACAACAGAAAAGTGGATGAAGGGAGACGTCGAACAGTGTAAGAAATGACAAAATAATAATTTATAAATTA